GTAAAGTGTGATGTTAGAGTCAAGAAATTAGAACAAAAGAATAAAGAGCTTGAGGCTAGGCTTGCAGTAGTGAAATATAGTTTTGTAACAGTGAATGAATAATCACAGAATGACTCACGGAGTGAGAATGCTAACATATCTAAGAAAGATATACTAGAGATATTACCAGAAATATCTGCTAATGATGATTCTGTAGTAGACCAGCTCAAGCAATATACACCTATTTATAAAGTAAATGATGTGATATCAGAAGTATTATCAGAGATCAATTCCAAGTTACTGGAGGAGAGAAATGGATAAATTCTTGAATAACATATTTAAGAAAAGTGTTAGTGTTAAAATAAGATAATATAATAAGAAAAAGAAGTTTCAACATGATTTAATTACTCAGGATCTGACTATTATAAGCTTGAAAAATGATCAGAGTCATGTGATTTTAGAAAATTTGGAAAGTCTTGAGAAAATCATAATAAATTTGTCATGATCAGACTATGATATACAAATATCTCTGAAGTATCAGAATTGAAGTAGAATAACAAAATTGATATAATTGATACAAGTCAAATCATAAAACAAGATTTAATTTAAGAATTGATTTAGAATTAATATAAATAGCTTGCCAAAATAATTTCACATTCTTGAATAATGAAATTAATAAATCTTATATTTAGAATATAAAAAACTTAATTTCAAACTTTACAGGAAGTTTATCATATTTGTTTAATAAAGTAATTAAAAAAGATCAAGAAGAAATTTTATATTGGTATTATTATTCTCTTGAATTTAAAAATAGAATCAAAGGTTTTATAGCTAATAATAATATTAAGAATAAAATAGCACAAATAAAAATATATAAGAAAAAGAAAATTCAGAAAATTCTAAATTATTTGAAAAAAAAGGGCAAGTATTACTAAAATTAGACTAATTATATATAGTATTATTATCATAGTGACATAAAATTCCTTAATTTCTTAATCTTTTCCTAGTTATGAAATATTATATTTTATTATAATTTTATTTATTTTATAAT